AGATTGGAAAGTAATTGATGGAGTTGAGTTATAGATATCAGCTAATGAATTTTTTTGAATGATAATATTTAAAATGGTTTCCAATTTTATTCTGATTCGAACGTACTATCTCTATTCTAGATGAAGCAATACTTAGTCTTTCCTGCTGAAAAACTCTAGAAAATGGTTGATAAGAACTTGGAAGTAGGAATCTCACCATCAGATTTTTCTAGTTTCAATCATCGGATTTCTTCTTCCAAGTTCTTACCATTTGCTAGAGTTTTTTTCTTTTGGAACAATGTCAGGAGACACTTGAAAGAATTCCAAGATACTTAGTTCAGCGAAATCTCTCAGTGAGGGCTTTTACGCCTGAGGTCCCCCACAGGATTTCTGGAAAAACTTTTTTTTTCAATTTTTGCCAAACTCACTTGGCAATATGTAATCGACCTCGCTGATCACGAATATAGGTACCAAAAGTATCACAAATGCTTTATGCAGGAGTAGTCTTCTATTTATCGTCATTTTCTTGGTATTCGCAAAAAGGACAATTTCTATGCCCTCCTAGTGGAGAAAGCCTCGAAAAGCCACCATATATAGTGATTTGAATGCATAATTTCAAGCTAAATCTGAATATGGAAGTAGAAAAATCATTCAAACAAAAACTTCTTAGAAAATTGTCTAAAACTGACTAAAACCATGATTTTTGACGATATTTCGAATTGGAGTGAGTACAATACATATGGGAAGAGGACGGATGAAGATGATATAGAATAACCATTGAGGAAGTTTGCGATTTGATTCGAGCAAAAACTTTCAGAATAGAAGCAGACTACAATCCGACATGAAGCGTCGAAAAAAGTACTAAGTGCTATGCTATCACGTTTGACTGTGCACATCAATCGAAATATTATTTCAATCCCTTGCTAGTATCATCCGAGAAAAATATTATTTGAAGTATCTAAAGAGTCGAGTGCTACATATTTGACTCGATTCGATTTCGATCTACGGTATATGTGTTCTTTCGTTTCTGTCTTTTTCTCAGTACAGAGTGTTCTTCTCTTCATATACTTTGTGATTAGCGTTATTGAATGAAACTGAACTCACGTTCACAAAACGATAAAAATTACAGTTGTAGCCCTAGTGAATATCTTTAGCGTTTCCATTAAGAATTCTGCAGGGATTTACTGTTTTTTAGTGATGACAACCTGTATTCATGAAATTTCAGGATTCTGCCAGATTTAAAATAGAATTCAATCAAGATTCTGAGTATTTCGAACAAGATCTTAGCAGAGTGCTAAGCAATTGTTGACTGTATTTAGATTAGGATCCTACTATAGAATTTCAATAATTCGTAATTGAAAAAGAAATTTCTGTATATATCTTACAGGACTTTCCCAGATTCCCACAAGGATCTTGCTATATTTCTTAACAGGATCTTTGCAGAATTTTCTAAAGAAAACAGAAGAGTAAATGAATAAGTAGCATAACAATATCCAGACCATCAGTTTACAAACCGATCAATTTACCTGGCTAGTTCGTTGCATGTTATTGTATATAAGTAAAATTGTCCGTATCATGGATTATAATTGAGTTGTTAACTTATAATTTAATTTTTTCTGAACACAAATTATGTCAAAAAATATTAAATTTACCATATCATTATAATTATTGTTTTTAGCTTATGAAACTTCACTATTTTTTATTAGTTTCAATCTGATTTAAAAAGTCGATTTCTATTTTTTTCTGCACATATTTGAAACTATAAGCAGATTTCGCCAAATGAGTATTTAATGAAAAAAATTAGTGCAATAACTAATATGAATTTAATACCCTAATTTAATAATTTTCCAAATAACCTTTCAAGATAAAAGCGCAAAAATAGCTGGTGTTTCCGAGATCTGGAAAACTTTTTTAGGATTTTGTCATAAGTTCTCTGTTTGTTCTTTTACAAAGATCTAGCTATGATGAGGATAAAATGCTGGTGAGCTATTGAGTGTGTCAGATTCCGAGCAAAACATTATGAAAGCTTCAAAAATCCTTTCATTTATCACTGTCGAGATTTGACTTGAGATTGGTATTAAAATTTGTGTTGTGATCTAAAGACTTACACATCTTCAGAAGACACTGAAAAAAAACGACTAAAGCCTTGATGAAACCTTTACATTCATCTTGGCCAGAATTCTAAACCGAATCAGTTATACATCTTAATAGGATTGTAAAAAATGAAACTCTGAAAAGACTCTAGACGCAAGCGTTCTAAGATCAAAGTTAGATTCTTGTCTGTTCCTATCAAGATTCTGATCGTAATTGATTTTTTCCAATGACTCTGACTAATCCTATTGTATTCTCGTTAAAACCTCCCATTGATATTAACTTCAACTCTTCACTGGATACTTTTATCAGGATCTCGAACAAATTTTGACTAAAAATTGATGAAAACTTGCCAGAATCCTGTCACTATTTCTCTAAGGATTCTGCATTCTAAATTGAGAAAAAGATCTGAACAGGAACTTTAACAAATCTTGACGAGGTCTTGTTTAATCATGAGAAATCCTGCAAACAGAAGTATCAGTATTTCAGAGAGGGTCCTGAATAAGACTGGACAAAACCTTTAAGATTCAGGATCTTGACATACTCTTCCGGACTTTCTCAAGAAATGAACACGACTCAGACTAGCGAAATGGTATTGTGAATTGAAATACAACAGTGTAAATTTTTCTTTAAAAATACATAGTGAATGCTTATGTTGCTAGACTTTTTTCTTTCTTGTTGATGGAAAGTTTATTACCATACGAACCTCATAAAGATGTACGTAGGTGATTGTTATTGTTGCCAAAATTTACGCATTTTAAATGATAAACTCATCAATTCTGACATAGGATACAAAAAGTATTTTTTGCATCATTGTTCTCACACTGTTCTCAAGGGAAAATTCAATGAAACTATCATCATTAAATTGTTTTAAAAATGAGACATAACGTCTATACTATTCTTCTATGGTTTCGTTATTATGTCGTTGTAATCTATATCCAGTTGCAAAATCAGTTCATTTTTGTATTCACTTCGAGATCTCGTATTGGGAACGCATTGCAGCTATTTCTTCAATATCATCGTTTTGTGGAGTGAATCGAGAATAACGGGAACTTCGTATTGAAGTTTCGAAAAAAAAGATTGACCATGTAGATATTTAGAAGTTTGTAACAACGTTTGAACGAAGATCGTACGACTCTTCAATCTTTAGATCATTGCGACACAAAATAATAACGACTCGAATGGTGGATCGAGAAAGTAAAAAAAAGCTCATGAACGATTGCTCAACATATTTAAATAACGAAATTCATTTTTTTTTATTTATATTTTAGTTTTAAATAAGAATAAAGCGCGTTAATTGAATATGTACTATTTAAAATCAATTTGTTTGTTTGAAAAAAAAAGATTTATACATACGATCTTAATATTTAAAAATCGATAATGACTAAACATAATAATGAAAGTAGAATTTCAATAGATGGTCAATTTATATGTCGTCCATCGAATCAATCTTGTTCATTTATTTATCAATTACCTGATGTTATTTTACAACGTAAGCGTGATCGAAAAATACCATATGCAGAAACATTTAATGGTATCATACTTTTTGCTGATGTATCAGGTTTTACAGAAATGTGTCAAAAATATAGTAGTGATGTTCAACGTGGAGTTAATCAATTAGCTAATGCACTTAATGGTTATATGGCACCAATTGTTGAAGCCATATTAAGAGAAAAAGGAGATGTTTATAAATTTGCCGGTGATGCTGTACTTGGTAATAAATATTCAATGAAATTTATATATAAAAACAAATTTTGATTAGGTTTATGGCCATTTCAAAATAATTCTATTGAACATAAACGTGAACAAGCAAAAAGAGTTATATCTTGTGCTTTATATATGAAAAAATCTTTATGTGATTATATGACACCAATTGGAACTGTTTTAAATATTAAAAGTGCTATTGCAATGGGTTCTTATTCGATAATATTTCTTCGTGTTAGTTTTAGTTTGATTTGTTTTTGTTGTTAAATTTTTTTGCAAGATTTGTATCTAGGGAACTACTTCAGCTTGTTCAAAACTTCTCGATGAGTATGGACTAAAAACACAACCGTCAATAAAAAATACGAATTCTTATTCGGAAACTGCAAAAAAAATGAATTCTGGAAAACATCAATCGACAAATTATATAACTAAAACAGGATTAACTGAAGAAATGATCGAACATTGTCGAACTAATCTTGTTAATTATTATGTTTGTTATGGTAGTGCTGTTGTGAGTGCTAGAAATGCTGAACGTAAGATTATTTTCATTGAGTTAATTATTGAAGGTATTTATTTATTTATTTATTTATTTAGATGAATGTAAGTCTCAAGATATTATTGTCGACATGGCTACATGGTTACTTCTTGATTCGGATTCAGTAAGAAAATATAAAATTAAAATTAAAATAAAGATGATTAATAAAAGAAAATCTTGGATAAAGCGTTTTTTTATTTCTTTTTCTTTATCTGTTGAATTTCACTTTGAATAAAAATATTAGAAATATTCAATCAATGTATTTTTTATTTTCTTCTACGATATCAAGTATTTAAGTCAAATCCAAACAGTGATTTAAATAGTCTATCTTAAAGGGCACCAAAAACCTGAATAAAATCAGGGATTGCCACATTGCCTACGATTTTGTCTTAAAAAATTATAAGCATCACAACACAAAAGTTATGATAGCATTGATAAAAACGAATATTTTTAAAATTTTCGTGATACTTATAACTTTTTAAAGGAAAGTCGTAAAAACATCAGTGATCGCTTACTTTTTTAGGATTTTACTCTCGTTAAAATCGTACTCTTAAAGCTAATCTTCATGTAATATTGTGCTACTTTAAAACTATTATGTTTGATTTTCAATAAACATTCCTCTCATAGCCGATCTATAAAAATTTCGGTATGGAATATATCTAATAGAGAACTTCATTGACTTTTCAATCGGAGGAAAAAGAAATCCAAAATACGTTGATCTTATATTTTTAACCAATACTGTAAATTTATTTTCTTAATATAGTCTGATCCAGTAAATGTAGAATTTTTTGTATTCGATCCGTTAATAAGAATCTCTTGTAATTGAGAATATCTTTGATAAATATATTGTAAACTGCAAAAATAAAAATCAATTTTAGGAATATATTCATGAAAAATTTACTGCTGAACATGATGATGAAGACATTGAAATTCCATCACGTTCTTCAAATCATCAAAGTGAAATGATCGGTCAAGGTCCATCAAATATAATTGCAACAACAATTAGTAAACGTCTTACACCACCCAATAAAAATCGAGAAGCTGTTCCTATAAGAAAAATACTTTCTCATTGTAAGAATATTTCCACAAAGAAAACAATAGTTTTTAACAAGCAATTAAATTTTAAAGATATTCGACTTCATGGTCGTCGAAATGATATTCCAAAAGATAATGATTTATCTGATAGTTATTCAATTATGTCTGCAGATTCGATAGAACCAAATGATAGTAATGAAGTATTAAAAAAACCTNATTAGCGAAATTCCCTACAAAGTAACGTCAAACACAAAAAAGCTTTTATTATTAAACATGAAACGATTTTGCACTGGACAAAATGATATAATTTTTTAGATAAGAACACAGTAGTAATTCAATGAATGAAGCTCAATATCTTAGGAAAGCTATCTCTACAGTTGGATATTAGTACTTACAAGTTTCATAAACCAACTGTATACTTATAATTAACTATTATTTATTCGAACTATTTTATTTCTGATGAATTTCTATTTTTATTCATTATTTAGTTCAAAATTTCTTTTGTTTTTTCTTTCTAAAATATAATCAGAAGCTGAACATCTTATAAAAAATTTACATCTCTCACGTCAAACCGATTATGATTCTACATCAACATTTCTAATGCAATCTATAACATTGCATGATAATGAAAGCAATGAAAAATCTTCAAAAAAAATTTTCGTTACTGAAGAAATCTTATCAATCAATGAACGTTTATATATAAATTTTACTGAAACATGTCCATTATTCTTATTAAAAGAAGGCATTGATCATCGTTTTGAATTTCTTGATTTTGCTCCTGATTTATATATAAGACAACAATTTCATCCAATAAATCATGATGAATTTATTTTAAATAATACGGAAACACCAATTGAACAAATCACTAATACAAATACAATTCATACACAATTATTTCCAAATAAGATTCCACAAAAAATTCATCCAACAACTGAAATTGAGTAAGAAATAAAATTAATATTTTTAAATACAACAAAAACACAATGACCTATTCTTATTTAAGATATAATCAACGTAACTGTCGTTGTAATTATTTACTTGTTGAAATCTATCGTTTATTAATAAAATTATGGGATCAATCATCAAATATAGAAAAAGTTCTTTATTATTCATTAGAATTAGCACGTGTTGAATTAACACGAACAAATTATTATGAATCAAAAATAATCTTACAAAATATCCTTGAACGATTAGAAAAAGAACGGAATTATTTAAATTTACCATCTTTTTTTGAGCCACAAAATGACTTATTATCAGGTTTATTTTTCTTTCTCTTTTGTCTTCCTGTGATACAATTCATTGTTTCTTTTTTTTTTTGTTTTTGAAGAGTCTGTTTATCGAATGCGTAAAAATGATGAAGCTTTTTTATATGTTGTTTATGGTTTAAAAATTTTAAATGTTCAATTAATTGATTTTCGTTCTCGTGATTCATCAAAATTAAAAAGTCAATGTAAACAATTACGTCATACACTTATACGAACACTTATACGACCAACAATAAATAAAAAATTATCCGATGATGAAATTATTCAAAGATATTTTACAGGTAAATTATTATTTCGTGCTGGACAATGTGCAAGACGTCATGGACAATTATTATTTTCTTATTTTTGTGTATTAAATGCAACATTATCATTAATTCAATGTCAATTTATATTAACATCATATGAACATTGTCAATCATTAACATTACTTGCTGAATTATCACATGATCTTAAACGTATGGAAGATTGTGATTTATTTGTTCAAGCTATTATTAAATATATTGAACCAATTCATATTGGTTATGAAACAATTGCTATTAAATCAAATTGGTTATCAATGACATGGAATTTATATCGAGGAAAAATTGATCGAGCTTTAAATGATTCATATAAAATAAAAGATTTATTAAATAAAATTGGTGCTTATGAAAATCTTATGTCAGTTGCAACTTATAGTTTACAAGTAAAAGAAATTAATTTATACTATTATTATTATTATATGATTTCTTTTAGGCAGCATTAATTGGTCGACGAGAAGAAGTTATACGTGATCTTATTGATATTATTGATAATGAATCAAATCGTCCATTAAAATATGAAAATCGTTTATGGTCATTCATATTAGCACTTGAAGCATTTGTTGAACTTAATATAGAATATGATGAAAATTTATTAAATGAAATTGCACTTGCTATTGATTATGTTCTTGAACATTTAGAAAAGAAAACATCAACACCAGGAGATATTCATAAATTTTTAACAATAGTTTTTTATGCACAAGCTACTTTAGTAGAATGTTATACAAAAATTGTTAAATTAGATAGAGCAAATGAGGTATGAAGTTTTTTAATAATCTTATAAAGTACTTAGTCTAGACTTTTTTTTGTGAAATATCATATATGTTTTTGAAGATAATAGTGAGTGTAAGTTTAAATCGAGGTTTTTGTAGTTACTCTTCATCTCCCTTTAGGTCGTAGAAAATGGGTGTGGGATGAGAAGCTTCAAAGATCATTGGGTATATTTTTCAAGCAACAAAACAAAATGTGTCAATAATAACAATGCGCTTAGATCATTGTTGAAAGTTTCTAGTATTTTTCAAAGCATTCTATAAATCTAAGATTTCTACATCAGATTCTCAGTAGTCTAAATATTGCGAATGTTAATATTAGATACAATGAAAAGATCTTATTGTCAGTATCAATCAGTAGGATGATGATGATGATGATACTATTGATTTTGTTGAGTCACAATAGGGCGGACATAGAAAAGTATGAACTAATTGAATTCTAAGTTTAGGCTAAACTCAACAGTATATGTCAAAGTTCATCGAAAGAAAGGATGATGTGCTCTGAAGCTTACTAAATGATTAAATCAATGTGCATAGCAGGCTAATATGGTGATTGAACCGACGAAGCGAACAATAAAATGATATTTGCCGCTTCGTATGGCATATATCGTATATATTATCATTAGAAAAAAAGAAGTTATGTAATGAATATGTATCTTACTATATGAAAAATTCTTTCTATAAAAAGATGTCAAATGAATCTAATAAATTAGTAGAACAGTAATTTTAAATGCAAACATTTTCGAAATGATTAAATTTCCGAGTAGATGCATATCAATTATAAAAATTGTTATGAGTTTATTCTATTTATTTATTTGACATTTTTTTTTTAAATAAATTATTTAAATTTCTCTGACAATATATCATCAATTTACAGCGGTTAGAGTTTTGTAAGTTCCACACGTTAGTCCTCCGGGGATACATTAACATTTTTTCTTGTGACTAAATCTAGTTAAAATAAACACCATTGAATTGACATGTTGACAAGAATGATATAAATTGCATTTAAGAAAATGACATTTAACGAATGTTTTTCAAGCCTCATCTAACTGTATTTAATAGGTTTAAGTACTTATGAAGAGTAACCTTGTTATATTGAAAATCTTTTAACCCTGAACTAAATGTTTAGAGTACAAATACCTGTGATTAGATTTTCAAATTTATTGAACCAATTTAAAAGAAAATGTTGAATAGACATAAATAAGAAAAATTGAATTCTTATGATCAATCGTAATAATCAGAAAATAAAGATTCAACATTAATTTTGTATAGTTCTAATTTCAATATCAATACTAATTAATCGATAATTAATGACGGAATTTTTTGAAAGTAAATTTTCACCATAACTATTCAAGTCACATCGAACAAAATAGTAGAAGTACTTTTCATAACAATGGTTTTTTTTTGCCACTTTATATTCTCTTCAAATGATCATGAAACAACACTTTCTTTTCTTTGTTTTGTTTTGTTTTGTTAGCATGAATCAACATGTAACACAGGAAATTGAGAATGTTTTAGTAAAGAAGAAAAAAAAAAGTAGGGAGAGGAAACTATTTTGAATTAAACAATAAAAAACAGAGTTCGACACTTCAATATGTTAATATAGTTTGTTTTGTCTTCCTGACAAAAAAAAAATCCTTCTCGATTTGATATAAATCTTATTGAATAATAGATCAAGCATTTCTAATTTAATGTCACGGTGCCTTCTTCGATTAAATGAAAAAAATATTAAATATACATCTGTTTCTTATTTTATACAGCATTATATGCGCGCAATTAAATTTGGTATGTCATTAAAAGAATGGACATTTCGTGTTTGTAATGGGATGCTTAAATTAGCAATATATGAGATATATGAATGTACTAAATGGCTTATCGAAACTCATATATCAATACTTCCAAATGAAATTCATGAACGTTTAATTATAACTCATATGCATGATATTAGTAAACATTTTAAATTATTACGACCACGTTATTTAATGTGCTTGGCTCTTAAACTTTTAATAACTGGTTATCAACGTTCAGCTAAAACTCAATTTGCTAATGCCATTCGTTTAGCTAATGATCTTGAATTAGATTCTGAAAGAAAACACATTGAAATGACAAGAAAACAAATATTTAAAGTAATTACAAAGAAAAAAACAAAGTCAATTAACAAAACCAAACAAAAACGAACAAAAAATTAAGTGTGTCTTTTTTTTCCAGTATTGTATATATTGTATAGAGAAAAAAATAGTAATAAATAAAGACTAATTTGGTATATAATTGATCATGTATAAATTAAGCATAGATTAGAAGGTTTAAAGAATAAGTGCTGACATCCACTTGTCGTCGTTTGTTTGTCGAATGACAGATTTTTTTTGATGTATTTCTCTTGTGCTAAAAGAAACAAACAACGATTGCTAAAATGTCATGTTGCCGACATACACACACATTTCCTTCCCGTTTTCCTAGTTGTTGTTTGCTCATGAGTATGTTTTGTATTGCATGGCAATATGTTTGATGTATGTTTTAATCAATCGTTTAGTCGGTGTCTTTTCAACATGAGAAAACAAACTAAATTTACCGATATATAGTCGACCATTAACGATTGCAAAAATATAATTCAAATTCTCTTTCTATATTTTTCTCTAGTGCACTCTATTATAATACTAATGTATAGACAAGAAATAAATTGACCTACATATATACATAAGTTTGTTAAGTTTAACTCCTTGTTTCTTTATTGTAGTTGATATTTCGTTGACGTTTTCTCTTCAAAAATTTATATTATAATTATCATTAGATCTATTAGGAGAACAAAATGCATCAGTTTCATCGTAAAAATGTCAAATCTAATAATCTAATAGAAAAATAATCAGTTTGTTATGGTAGATGTTTTGCAAGAACTGTATGATTCTTTTTGTATTTATTATATCCTTATGGCCATTTTTGGTGCCCTTTAAAGATATGCTTTTATGAATCTTCTCTTTCAGTAAATTGATGTGTCGTCTGTTGGATGGAAAATCGGTTAGTATAGCGTTCTACACGTATGTTAGTACACCTCATTTACATTGGTATTATACTGATAGCAGTATTGGCTCTTTAATACTGATAATGATAACGATGAATGTTGACCTTGAGTTCGATTTGAGAAAGTGCTATCGATCTAGCACTATGATATAGATAAAGTTAGTATTTTTCTTCAGTTCCATTTATCTCGAATGACGTAATTTGCTCACACTAGTTTTCTTTTTTTATTAAGCGATGATACTTGCATGTATTATTTATTGATGATTGTTCTAGTATGCATTGAAGAGAAAAAAATGCTTGACGTTAATTCGCATTGACATTCCACTTTAGGATTGCGTTCTATTGAACATCCGAAAAATGCGCCTCAACGGACTCATATAATCAGAAAAGAATCAATAGTAACGAAGAACTAATGATGAAATGTGTGATCGTTCAGCGTATATAAAATGTAGCTAGATGTTTTCTTAATTTTTCTTCTTTTGGAACGTGAGCGCATAGTACGACTGTACATTATTCAATATAGGAAATATTATTTATATAGAGGTACATATTACTATATAGGCTTCCTTATATTTTTATAATTCATCCTTCTAATAGTGTAATTGCATATGTGTATGTAGGTAAGTGCGTAAAATATTGGCTGAGAAAAAAAAAAGGTTAAAAATAAAAAAAAACAGAGTAAACCACAAAGCCTGATAAAAAAAAAAAAGAAAAGGATGTCCGAACAACTATGACAACGAAGAGAGACCGATTGGTGCACAGTTACATGTATCATCTCGGAAACACTATTGTGCACTCATACTTTTCTGTAATATGTTAATGGAAAAAAGGCGAAGGACGGATTGATTGCTATGCTCATTAAAAATATTATATTATTTTCCTGACCCCGAACATCAGTAGTCTTCGTTAAAGAAGTTTGGTTTTGCTCAGCTGCTACTTTTCACATACCGACTGTGCCTTTTCTCGAATTTTTCTTTAATCTCTCCCATTATGCTTTTTTTTCTCCCCCTCTCTCTCATTTTCTCGTTCTCTCTCTCTCTTTGTCTCCCCCTTTTGCTCTCTTTCTTTCTTGATCCCAATGATGTGTCAACACGCATATATCGCGCCGTGTCGTGCTAGTAAAAACAACTATAAGATGGACGGTGATGAAAGAAGGGCGCGCCATTGGATGACAGAAACAAAAGGATGAGATTCTATACACATAATGCATAAACCAAAACAACAACATTCCCTCATTGAAGAAAAAGAGAACGAGACCGAGAGCCAAAAAAAGACTAATAACGACAACGAAAATATAGATGTAATATAGGCTTATATATTTCAGTAGACTAGTACGAGAATCATGGTGACGATGGTGAACAATAACATAGAAAATGTTGTGTCCATCAGGGAATGCTATGGCATGTTACACATCATATACAACATTGAACAGTAATTTTCCGCTTTTATTTTCTCTTTAATATGCGCGATGTCTATTAGGGACTTAGTGATTATTTAAGAATCAAATAGGGAATTAAAGAATGCATCGAATAAGTATTCTCTTTTGACCTTCATTCCACTGCAAGATACATTTGAATCAATGGAAATATTTGTCAAAAAAACAAGAGTAAATATTGTTCTTTTCTTTTGCTTTCGGCAAAAGTTACCCAACAAACAAATAGTCACCTGTTATGTTTTTTTCTCATTGTTGTATGCTTTTTCTAAATGCGAAGAAAGAATGTCACCTTCAAAATTCTAATTTTTTCTTCTCTTTTTTTTTCCTAATATTCTTACGATCAGAAAATGTGTTTACATAAGAGGAAATCATGTTTTATTTTTAGGTTTTGTCTTTTGAGACCACGCAATTTTTTTTCTTTTTTCTGATAACAAGATTCTACTTGAGAAAAAGTCGCAATTTACGCAATGATAATGTTCATTATTATACTTGAAGAGCATATACAAATCTGTTAAGTCTTTCTTTTCTATATACAATCGTAAACCCTTTACATATAGTCCATAGTTAACTACTAATTCATTTTGTTGTGCATCTAGTTTTCTCCTTATTGATTGTTGTTAATTGATGAACAACATAACATTTTAAAGAGATGAAAGTTTGTTAGTATCTCAACAGTTTCTATAGATCGTGTACACTTCATAGTTGTTATTCATAATTACATTAGATTTTTCTTCGTCTATGTTCTTTTCTTTTAACCAACTACGTAATATCATTCGATGTTTTGATGATGTCTAAAGGACAAGTTTACATATGTTATATATCTTTTAGAGCGCAGAAATCTTTCTTCTTTTTTCATTTTATGATCGGATTCTTTGCGTTACATTGTAAACTAACAAAAGTACCTGACAACGATCATTAATCAAACTGAATGTTGTTTTTTTTATGTGTGTTTCTTTGATTTTTCTCTATAGAAATGAATACAATCAGTTAGTGTATTATTAGTTAAATGATTGTTAGTGAACAATGGCAATGAATTGTTCACTACGAGAAGAAATTGCACGTCAAATCGAACTGTATACTTATCCATTCTTACTTGGTTTGGGGACAGTGGGGAATCTTTTATCAATAATTGTTTTAATACATATGAGACAACATAGTGTTTATCGTTATTTAACATTTATGGCTATTGCCGATACTGTTCTTTTATATATTGGATTATTACGTGAATTACTTTTATCATCAAGTTTTCATGTTCATATACAAGGTACATTATTATGTAAACTACATGTTTTTTTCTTCTAGTAAGTTAAATTAACTTTTCTTTATACATACAAAAAAAACATAATTAATTATTTATTTTTCTAGTAATACGTTGCATCTTTCATCTTGGTTTCGTTGTTGTTTAAATTTAGATCGTTATGTTGCTGTAAAATTTCCAATATATACATCGAAATGGTGTCGGACACGACAAGCATCAATTAACTCAAGCGTTGTTTTCACTGTTTTATCTTTATCTAATATACATTTATTAATATTTGTTCAAGGTGATGATCATATTAAGAATTTAGATGGTCTCAATTCTACACTCTCCACTGTTAATCCATTCCAATATCAACGATGTTATTTACATCCAAGTTATGTACACTTTTTTGAACACATTTATACATGGATTGATATGTTTCTTGTAACAATAATACCTTTTATATTTATTATTTTATGTAATTTAACTGTTATAAATCGTGTATTTCTCGTATCTTGTCCGGGTAAAAAAAATGAAATTGTTAGCCGTTCCAAAGCAACAAATCGTTTACGTTCATTATGTTTAATTATGATATGTTCATCATTTGTATTTGTTGCAACAACTTTACCAGNACGTGTACTTCGATGAATGTACTATGGTCACTGCAGAGTGCTAAAAGTCAATCATTTATGAATTTGATGTATTTACAGGAGAATACACCACTATTACAGTCATGTTGATGATCTTACAGTTTATTCTAATATTAATAATCCGTTCATTGATTGCCTCCCAATCAGAGTTTGAGTCTTTCCACACCGTTGTAGAAATTTGATCAAGAGAAATTGCCACCCCATGAGTATTTCTACTTCGATTGTCACGTGACAGACCAAAGTATATAAATATATAATCATTAATCTGTTTAATTCCGGAGTCATGGATACATATTTCACTTAAAGCAGCCATTCGAATTCGATATTTCTTCAATTGTTTAATAATAAGTTCTTCCTGTGATTGTTTAACACAAGATCTAACATTCCATATACCGAAATATATATGTTGTTGTATGTTTGTACACTGATGTTGATTCTTTTTATTAGCCAGAATTGTTTAATTTCAGGCTAGGAGGTTCCTAGCCTTAGAGCCTGACATTTGGCTACCGGCAGCCCAGAATAGGCTCCTACTGTACAGCCGTAGACCCCTTTGGAAGTTCGAAAACTTCCACGGCAGACAGCATATAGTATCAAAGACTTCAAAATATAATAATATTTTGTCAAATTGAAAACACCAGAAGAAGTCTTGCTTTAAAAACTGTTCTTTTTGTTGCAAGGTTTTCTAGTGTCTACGCTCTCTACCTATATCTTAATGCCGATGATATAAGAGTAAGTAGTGTTGCCTTATGACGAATCGCTGTGTTAGACGAAAACGAATTTGTTGATTATGAAGACTCTATTTGTGACTTAATTCCATTATCATAATAAGAAAATTTGATGTATCTTCCAAAAATCTATTCATTTCACTTTTGGCAAAAATAGTAATTAGGATAACTGATAGGAAAGACTTGAGTCGATATTTCTCATTCAACGTCAGAATATTCTTGTTATATTCATAAGAATTGTCGTCATTGAATTTCAAAGATCTTGAAGTTATGCTACCACAATACCCAACTATGTCCTAAGGTGGAGCAATGCTAAAGTTCCCATTGATGAAACCTAGAAGTTTGATGGTTTTTCAGCCTCCTAACAATGCTGTTTGTTTTTAACGAACGAAGTTAAAACTTTATTGAAAAAAAAATAAGCAGTTGTTATTGGTTTCTTTTTATTTTGACATAGTCTATACATATATATTTATATATTATTTGATGCCATGGAAATTATGACATACGTTCAAAAGAATACGAAGTTTATGCACGCTTGTAAACAATCCTCTTAGGATATAAACAACTTCATTTTGATCTTTCGTATAGCTAAGTATTAAGGTTCAATTTTTCTGTGACTGTATATGTACCAATAAGACCATATATGGAGAAATATAAAACAAAACGAATATCGTATCGAAAAGTATTAGACAAATGTTTTCATTTTCAAAAAACCTTTGTATTTCTTCAAGTACAACATAGAGATATACGATCATAATATTGCATTATGTCAATCGTTAGATCTATTTCGTATGATCGTTTACGATTGTACTTATTTAACTTGAATGCTTAAAAAATTTGCCAAAAATGGTATCTTTAGAAGCAGTTTTTCACGAGATCGATTAGTTGTAGAGTGGTTATTTTAAGAATTAGTGATGACGAGGTGTTTTTTTTTGTTCTTTGACGAATATTTCACTTTTTTTTAGTTATGTGATCGATATTTAAGTGATTTATCTCCTTTAATTGACTCATCATATTCTCATGAATTATCATTTCTTCGTGCTAAAGTTCTTGTTCATCGTCAACAAGATATAGCTGGTGAATATCTTCGACAATTAATTGAATCTCCCTTACCGGACTCAATACATATTCGTTGTCGTTTATTATTATGTGATTGGCTTAATGAAACTCGATGTGAAACATCAACAACAATAAAACAACAACTTGATACAATATCAAATTCAATTAAAAATTTAGATACATCATCATTATCACTTATATTTGAATCATATTTAGCTATGGCACATTTTAGTGATAATGAATATCAACGTTTAAATCAATTATTTCATTCACCTATGTTTGAAAATAAACGTTTATTAATAACACGTAATCAAATTGAATATAATAAACAAGAAAAATTAGATCCATTAGGACGTTATACAAAAGTATTAAAACGTAGTTTAGATATGGATAAAAAAGAAATTGATGAACAAAAAAAATTACAATATAGTTATTTAATATCAACATTAAATAATTATTTAATATGTTTAAAATTATATTCTAATATATCAAAAAAACAACAAATAAATCAAAATATCTCAAGAGATATTATTAAAAATAATTCTGTACCAGAAATAATGATTACATCAAAATGTCTTTCATATTGGTTTACTAATTCAAATAATGATGAAGTTAATAAAACATTAAAAAAAAATCTTTCACATATTCCAACATATTTTTTTCTACCATTTGTTTATCAAATGGCAGCAAGAATGGCTTTAACAAATGATAAATTACCATTATCATTTCATTCAATTCTTTTAGAATATTTATCACGATGTATTATTGATCATCCTCATCATGTTTTACCTGTTATATTTGCTCTTACTAATGCTCATAAAGATGCACATATTAATCAACAACAACAACCACCATCATCATCAACTACAACAAAAAAGACGAATACTACTGGAGTTATTCAATTAAATAATGAAATTTATAATGATGCTCGTTCACGTGCTGCACAATATTTATTAGATGAATGTGCAAAAGTTAAATCACAACTTGTTGATCAAATGAGAAAATTAAATGATGCTTATATTGAAGCAGCTTATTGGGATGTATCATCAACGAAAACTGATCAACAAGGAAAAGATACAAACGGAAAAAATCCAACATTTTCAAAACATCTTCGACTTATGCATATTAAAGATTTTCATCAAGTTGCTGTACCTACAATAACAATACCTGTAATAGAAAATATTATTTTTTAATTAAGAAAAATAAAAATTTCTTTTTGTTATTCGTTTAATTTAGGTTGCTAATGATGGTATTTATAAAAATATTGAAACAATTAAAAATTTTAATTCAGAATATGCTATGGTTGGTGGTGTTAATGCACCAAAAAAAATTTTATGTCATAGTTCAATTGGTCGTCAATTATCTCAATTACTTAAAGGAAAAGATGATTTAAGACAAGATGCTGTTATGCAACAATTATTTACTGTTGTTAATCGATTATTAGATAAAGATGATCTTACATGTCAACGGTCACTCAATATTCGAACATATAAAGTTGTTCCATTAACGTATGTACTAGGTTTTGTTTTAGTGTATATTAAAGAACAGAAACAAGATAAAGAATATGTGTCTGTTAAATAGAATATTGGGTATTTTTTTCAATGATTTCGAGACACTTATTATTCATACCTTTTATAGTATATGGCAAAAAACTTCGTCTTATGATATCTGATACTTGAAATGTTTTGTAAAGAGAAAAATGGCAAATTAGAAACTTCAAAAGACTTGATTTGTGATTAATTAATATAGTTGTGACAAGAAATAAGGTCAGGGTGAGAGTACAATCATCTGCAGTTTATTAATAGACAACACTAGAAGCAAATCGAAAGAAAAAATGATAAGATTGATCATAAAAGATCTAGAAACATTGGAAGAAAATACTCAGAACTTGAAGAATTATAAATACTTTAGAAAAATATCAAAGACACTTAGAAATAATCGAAACCGATGTTGACTCAATCGTTTGAGTGCTTGCATAATGGCCCATGCATTTCTAGAAGTCTTGAAAATTTATCGAAATACTTGCCAATGCTCGAATCAATTAGATAGGTCTCGAGCCCGAACGATTTGACATCGTACATCAAACCTAATATTGTATTTAGTCGATTCCTAATTAGGACTAAAATCTTATTGCATACAACAAAAAGAAATTTTGTTTATTTACATCTTAATTCTACAAACAATTTTGTTTTTTTTTTTTTCGTATTAGACAAAAAAGTGGAGTGTTGGAATGGTGTGAAGGTACAATAACATTTGGAGATTATTTAACAAAAATACCTGATGGTGCACATTCACGTTATCATCCAGATGATTGGACAGCTATGGATTGTCGACGACATATACATAAAAGTACAAATTCTGGCAAAGATGAACGTAAACGTGCATTTATGCATGCATGTTCAAAATTAAAACCAGTATTTCGATATTTCTTTTATGAATACTATAATAAACCAAGTATATGGCATAGAAAAAAACAAGCTTATGCTAAAAGTGTAGCAACATCATCAATTGTTGGATATATTGTTGGACTTGGTGATCGTCATGTACAAAATATTTTAATTGATACACAAACAGCTGAAGTTATTCATATAGATTTAGGTGTTGCTTTTGATCAAGGAAAAATGTTCGTTCGATATTAAATTTTATTTGTATAATAAACTTCTTTTTTTTTTTTTGTCAAGGTTACCAATACCTGAAACTATTCCATTTCGATTAACACGTGATGTTATTGATGGTCTTGGTATATGTGGTACAGAAGGTCTTTTTAAAAAGTAATTTAAAAGAAAATATATGTGTTTTTTTTATTGATCTTTTAATTTCATATTTATATTATGATTTTTACAGAAGCTGTGAAATAACACTTGAATTAATGCGTCAATATGCAGATACATTAATAACAATTATTGAAGTTTTTCTTTATGATCCACTTTATCAATGGCAATTATCACCACAAAAAGCATTACAGCTTCAGCAACAATTTGATAAAACAGGTGATTCTGTTGCATCATCTTTAAATCGATCCTCTGGAAAAGGAAGTATGTTACCATCATCTTCATCTTCAGCATCTTCAAACATTGGAGGAGAATCTATTACAACAGGTTTGATTCGAAAAATTAAAATAACTATTGATTGACAGATTTTGTATTTAGATACAAATAAAATGGCTGAACGTCTTCTATTAGGTCTTCGACAAAAATTACAAGGAGTTGAACGTCTAAATCAAATGACAATTAAAGCTCATGTTAATATGTTAATACAAGAAGCAACAAGTATAGAAAATTTATCTCAATTGTTTGCTGGTTGGCAACCCTACTTGTAATTTTTGTTATTTATGTATGTGAACATTGTTATGAGTTAAATATTTTTTTTTTATTCAGAATACAACAATATTATTCTTTTGAATTCATAATAAAAAAAAAAGTGATTTGTAAAAAAAATGTAGAGATTCATAATATTCTAACCAAATATTTTGTTTTATAATACAAATGTAAAAAAAACTTGATTATAATCATTGATTATAGAACGAGAAAACAATCTTGATTGATTTTTACCATGATGTATAATAAATCGAGATATTTGTTTAATGATTAATGTGGATCTAATATTAACTCTGACATTCTGGTTTCATTATAATCATAACCTAAAATTACATTACTATCATTAAATTAGAGTTTATCTTCTTTTTTTTTTTTTTTGAGATTTTATCAAATATAAATCATTATTCTATTGGTATAGGTTTTTATTTGCTGAAGAAAAATGAGTTCGAAACTGCGTATACTCGAAATGTCAATCTTGCTACTCTAGTATCTACATTTTACCAATCAACTATAAGCTATGTATTTAAGTCTTATAACGGATAGATCTTTTCGAATGTGACTCAAGGTAGAGAACACTATGTAATTATCAACTAATTAATTAGTACTCAGCCAATTAATATCGATCTAATTAGTGTTAACATGAGTAATATTTACCTAATGAATTCTTGCATATTTATTTCTCAGCTAATTAGTTCAGCACTCATTGATTGAATGATAATTAGGAGAGATGTATTTAGAAGTGGCATAAATTGTAATTAATGGTTTTCGTTTTTTTTAGAAAACCGAATTTGTTCAATATTCGTAAACCCTAATTACTTTAATTGAATATTTCATTGAAACAGATATAAAGCCTTGCGTTTTTGATACACTTGATCAATTAGTAATCAATTGAAACTTGTATCTTAATGATCTATTTTCTAAATGATAATATTAATCGAATGCTATTAACTAATAATATTTAAAAAGCTATAGGTAAGCAATGTTATAATCGAACATTTGGTCGTAATGTACAAAATCACTAGTGAATTGATTATGATGATATTGACAGTTCATGATAATTATACTCTCATCAACTTTATAAATCTATTTCAATTCAATGGTTATCATCAAAATCAATAGCATAGACATTTGATAAATATCTGTTAAATCGTACTGTTAATAATAATAAAAAACTGATGTTTAGCCATAATTAAATTATCAGTTGCTATCTGAGAAAAGTCGACTTGTAAACAAATCAAGTATTATATTAACGGACATCCTGTCTATCATCAAGTAAAGATAAATTTTCTCTAAATATTTCTAGCAATGAATTCAGCATTCTCCTGTTGTAGGATGCATGAAAGTGCCCAATCAAATTGTTGGACTTAGTGAGTTTGCCTATATTTAAATTAAATCATATAGATTGTTCTTCTTTCTATATATGCTTCTTTTCAGTTTAATATATGATAATAATCATCTTTTGTTTTCTATCACTAAATTATACATAATATAGCTCTAAAGAGTATTATCTTCTAAAGGACGGGGGGCGATTTCTACAGAAATCGGCCCAATTGAATTTTAATGATCTGCTCGGGTAGAAACAAAGGAAATGATGGTAGAAAGTATACCTTATGGTTTTCAAATGATTTTTCTAGGTATNTTAGAATAAAGATGATTCTTTATTCTCGAAGTAGTTTATATCTAGTTGGTAGTTTTTTGTTTTATTTCTTGAGATAGTTTCATTTTAAGTAAAGATTTGTTTTTTTTGTTAGAGATTCTGTTATTTCAATTACAAATCGAAAAGAACATAAAATATTCAAGACTTGAAAGCTATCTTAAAGAATGAAAAAAAAAAAGACATCAGTCATATCGGTAGTACTGAAAATTAGTTATAATCTTAATTAAATTTCATATGAAATACTACGATTCTATAGAAAATTTTAATATAATTTAAAACATAGTTTGATTTTGTTATTCAACTACAGTAAAATCTCTTTCAGTGCACATGTTGTTATCCTTAACGATTTTCGTCGATTCCGACGATATTCACAATGTAGAGATTTTATCGTAATTTTGTAATCTTATTTTTATACATAGAAAAAAAGATATTTTAAAATCATGTCACACTGTTTTATTGATCTACATGATCACATTACACACATATTCATTCATGATAAATCATTATTTTTTTTTAACTTCAGGTGGTTCTGAACCAAATCTTGCTGATTTAAATGTTTACGGTGTTTTAACAGCCATTCAAGGTTGTGAAGCATTTCAAGATCTTATGAATAATACAAAAATTCAACCATGGTTTGAACGAATGAAACATAAAGTTGAACCTCATTATTGATGATAATAATATTCGTGCTACAACTTAAAAGCTTTCTTTTCATATTTGAAAACACAAATATAAAATCAGATAATTCAATTTTTTTGTTTATTTGATTAGGTTGATAATCTTAATAAAATATCATTTTAGATAATACAGTAGATCAAATAATTAAAACAAGATGACGATTATGGAATGTGCTGGTTGTACGCTAATTGCATATGGTGTACCATTTTCAATGTTTATATTTACAATTGCACATCATCCATTTCGTATTATTATTTCCATGACAAGGTAAAGAAAGAAATATAAATTGTCTTTTTCTTTCATTTTATTGTTAAAATTTCTTTTTTTTTAGTGCATTTTTTTGGCTGTTATCATTACTTTTATCATCATTTCTTTGGTTTGCTGTGGTACCATTACGTACTCAGCTTGCTTTTGCAGTTCCATTTGCTGTAATATTTCAAGAAATATTTCGATATTTATTTTATCGTGTTATTAAGTAAAGATAATTTTTTTGAATATTATTTCTAGTTTTGTCCTTATTCTTTAATTTAGAAAAGCAGAATTCGCTTTACAAAAAGTTCAAATGCAAGAATTAACAGACAAAGGAATGGTATTTGATCGATTTGCAGTGGCTTATGGTACTAATAAATTTTAATTTGTTCCAAACTAAAATTTTTCTTTTTGTTTAGCTTCTGGATATGGCTTTGGTTTAATTAGTGGAACATTTGCTATTGTTAATGTACTTAGTGATATGATTGGTCCTGGTACAATTGGTATTTTTGGACATTCACAAGACTTTTTTATTGCTACAGGTAAAAGATCAAGGTCAAGAAAGGAAGAAATTCTCTTTTTTTATTTTGTTTAAAAAAGAGAAATATACATGAAGATAGTAAATCATTCGTATTCGATATAATGTGCATATTTATTCACCTTAGTTGTCTATTAATACGTTTTGTATTTATGTGCTCTTCGGTACATTCGTTGTTCTTTCTTTAAATCGAGTCTATAATATGATATTAGTACATCGGTTAAAACAGGCGAATTTGTTTTTTGTCTACCAGTTAATAATGGAAAAATCACTATTATCGTGTGAAACTGTACATAGAACTGAACTTTTAGCTAAACTCTTCGACATATGATCTATATATCTTATTTTCAAATTGCAGTAGGAGGTTATATTTATCTAAGCGAATTTCCATAGCTTTTAGCACCTTATATCATATTCTATAGACTCAATTAAGGCAATATTAAATAGAAAATGCTCGATTAATAATTTGATATATCGTCTTCTTACTTATCTTAAACAGTCTAGACAAATATTAGATAAAAATTCATGATTAGTTTCACCAATACTATATAAGAATATGCATTTGATTGAAAACATTTTCTAAGTATACTATAAATGATACTGATACGAAAAATATTCTTGTTACATTTAAGTGAATAAGTGTGTCAATAATGTAAGTCACGAATTATTTTTCGGTCCTATATACTTTTTGTGTGAACAAGCCAAGAAAAGAGAAAATATCTTTATCGATCTTGATTTTCTTAAAAATATCAACTTATTTATATTAAATATTTATCTTGTAGCATTTCTTACATTATGTGTCATTCTTTTAAATACATTTTGGGGTGTTGTCTTTTTTACATCGCTTGATAAAGGTGGTATTCATAAATTAATTGGCCCTGGAACTGTTGTTCTTACACATATGCTTTTTTCTTGCATTGTAAGCATTTTCTTCTTGTTTTTATTTTTGTTAAAATATTTTTATAAATATGAAATTATTTCAGACATTATTAAATCGAACATCAACACCAATTTATTCAATATCACTTATTATTGGCTATATACTTTTACTTGGCATGATAATATATGCATTAGTTTTACGTGGATTTAATATAAATTCTCTTCGTCAAAGAACAAATTGAGAATGAATATCAATTATTTATAACACTTCTTACTTGTTGTAAATTGATTATTAATTGTTTTTTTTTTTTTTATGGAAAATTCAAATTTATTTTCTTTTGTTTGTTTTTTGCTTTGATCTATATATATATTCATTGTTTGTCCTGATTCAAAAAGAAAATAACAGAAAATATGTAGATAAATTAAAAAAAACCCACAAACAATATAAATGTAATTGATGAAAAATAAAATGAGATGAGCTTACGATCAAAATGGTTTTTTAGATGTTTTTTCCGCGCATTTTACGTTTTCATGGTGATTTTCTATGTAAAAACAGACATGATTTTTCGCTTGGTAAGATACCTATGTAAAATCTAGAATCGCTCTTTGTATTTTGTTTCTTTTTTCAGTACACAATACATATAGAATGGCATCATCCTTATTATCAAAGAAAAAAATTACAGTTGTGGGTTCGGGTAATTGGGGCAGTGCATTGTAAGCTTTTGTATTTTTGATTATTTGTTTCTAAATTTTTATTTGATTAAATATAAAGCGCTAGTCATGTTGGTGAGAAAATGCATGAAATAAAAAGTCAATTTCATGAACGAATTTTAATGTGGTGTAAAGAAGAAATATTAGATGATGGAAGTAAATTAAGTGAAGTTATTAATCGCGAACATGAGAATGTCAAATATTTACCAAATAAAAAAATTCCAGACAATATTGTTGCTATACCTGATCTTGTTGAAGCAGTTGAAGATGCTGATATACTTGTTTTTGTTATACCACATCAATATGTAAAAAATACTTGTGAACAATTAAGAAATAAAATTAAAAAAGATGCATTTGCTTTAACATTAATTAAAGTTAGAAAACAAAGAATGTTTGATTTTTATGATTTAGTTTTATTTTTTCAGGGATTTCAAGTCGATGAAAAAACGAATGAAGTTTTACTTGCTTCACAGATTATTGGAGATACATTACACATTCCATGTGCTAGTATGATGGGAGGTTTGTTAATTCAATTTGATTTAGTAGTTAAAGAATATACTTGAATTTATTTATTTAATTAGCTAATATTGCTAATGAAGTAGCTGAAAAAGTTTTTTGTGAAGCAACTGTTGGTTCTCGTAATGATAAACATAGTACAATAATTCGACAATTAATTGATACACCTCGTTTTCGTTTACGTTTTTATCCTGATGTTGAAATTATTGAAATGCTTGGTGCTTTAAAAAATATTGTTTCAATGTTAGCTGGTTTTTCAGAGGGTTTAGATGCTGGTTTTAATACTCGAGCAGCTGTATTATTTTAATTTCATTTATAATTTCAAAGAAATTTATTTATTTTATTTAGATTCTTCGTTTAGGTTTTCGTGAAATGATTAATTTTTGTCGTTTATCTAGAAAAGAATCAACACCAGAACTTTATTTTGAATCATGTGGTATGGCTGATTTAATTGTATCATCATTAGGTGGAAGAAATTATAAGGGTGCAAAAAAAATGGCTCAAACAAATAAATCATTAAAAGATATTGAAAAAGAAGATCTTAATGGACAATCATTACAAGGTCCAAGTACAGCAAAAGAAGTTTATCGTTATCTTCAAGTGAAAAATTTATTAGATCGATTTCCATTGTTTCGTGATGCTCATCTTATTAGTGAACAGAAAATAAAATCACATATATTTATCGATAACTTAAGTTCACATCCAGACTATAATCAAAATAATCGAAAAATCTTATAAGCAGAGATTTCTTTTGTTTTTTTTTTCTATTAATTTTGTTTACTTATAAAAAACAAGTAAATTATCTCTAAACGAGTCATTCAATGATAATTCACAACTTATTTGTTTTTTAAAGTGTGGTGATAAAAATTGACTTTTTGCTGTTTTCTTTGTTTTTTTGTTATCCATGCATATTACAAGTATTTATAAATAGTATTGTTTAAAGAAAAAAGTAAATTATTGTAATGTATAGGAAAAATGTTGATTAGGGAATCCGATTTAACAATTAATGATTTTATTACAAGAATATTGATAAAAAAACTTTTTCTCTTATGAATCTTTAAAAACATATTATATAATGAACATTAGTATTTTCTGTTAATTGTGCAAAAAAAAAAAGAAATTTAGAAAATATTGAAAACATTTTAGATTCGATTTAAATAACATTGAATCAAAAGAATTTGTTGAGTAATTTGTTCTACTTAGTAATTTTTAATAGTAATATTCCTAAAATAAGTGTTTCAAGTGACATTAGAATTATAAAAATATTCACCATAAAATATAGAATAAACTCAGAAAAAAAATATTAAAAAATGAATATCCTATTCTTATAAGAATTCAACGTATATATGCTTTAAGCCACTTAACATCCTTAGAGAATGCTTAGAGAACGATAAAAATAAATATTTCTTTTTCTTATGAGATATATCAAGAACTTTTGTCTATGACTTTTCGATCAACATGATAATCATCTTCTAATAATAAAAAAAATGTTTGTTTCAATTCTAGACAACAATTTATACGCCGAATTATTGCACAAAACATTATCTGTTATCTATTATAAATAGGAAAACAAAGTTTAGATTTTCCGATGCAGAATAATTCATCAAGATTCAAATTTATTTAAAGCATTGTCATAATATGTGACTTTTTTGTCACTGCACAATTATTTAACAGAGAGTTGAGGGTTTGATTACAATCTGGAAAATTCATACAATTAGATTATTAGTGCAAATATAATACATTGATTGCACTAATTCTCTATTTCTGTCAGTATTGAATTCTCGTTAATGATGAGATTTTTAATAGACATCTTTATGATATCAGCAGAATCAACTAATGACAAATATTCTAGACAAATGAAGTCCATGAAAGTGATTAAAGGATTCCTTAGATTAAAACGCTAAAACTTCTAAAAGTGAAGAGGCGAAATTCCTGTTCGAACATATGCTACTGATATTAAATCTATTTTTATAATTATCTTTAAATCTTTATTATCAGAATTACTATGAGAAAAATTAAAAAAAGAATCGACTTATTAATATTTATAAAATAAAATACGTAATTCAAATAATAATGAAAAAAATCATTTAATATGATTTTTATCTTTTGTTTTATTGCAAGATAAACAATAAAATCAAAATTTTGTGTGTATAAATAGTTGTTTTAATACATTAACATCCTATTCATATGATTCAAATAGGTTGAATAATGATTCATTTCTAGTGAATTCATTTACAATATAGCTTAAAGTCTTTTTTCTAAATTAGTGTTTATTTCCGTTTAAAAAAAAAGTCTCAGTTATTCATTGTGAATGCCAAATTTTGTTATATTAATAAAAATAAAATTAGAAAAAAAACCTTAAAAAATGTACCTCAAGAATATAATAAGAAACAAGACACACTTTCAACTTATTCACTTTTTTAATTTTTTTTTTGTCTGCATTGTTTTCAAGTTAATCTTATTCTCTTCTTGCAAAGGCTTTCAGTTTAAAAATAATTCTAATCACACAGATCATCGATCTGCTTTTCTTTTCTCCTATGACATGTAAAAGAGAAATATCAATGAATCAATCACTCGCCGTTCTTTCTATACTTATCACAATGAAATAGTTTTTCTTCAATCATTCACTACAAATTTTGACGTAAAAAGGATTCGAAAGGAAATAACTTATCTTAATTTAGTAACTTTCATGACGTGAATCCTTTTGTTTTTTTGTATACTCCCAAAAATATTCTTTAGTTCTCTAAATATTTCACACTTCAAAACATATAAATTCTTGACATGTAAAAGCTACTCTTTGCTTCTTTATTTTGAGATGCAAAAAAAATGACTTTCTAAAAATACTCTTCATTACTGTGGAATCAAACGTTTTGATTCGTTCAAATTGCCCAACCCATTTTTCATAATGAATATTATTTTTGGTACATGACATCTTGATGGCATTCATCGTTCTTCTTTAAATGTTAAGCAAAGTATTGGATTTACAGCTTTATGAATCATGATTTTTGAATTAATAAGATTGTGGTACCATCGAAAAAAACCCACCTACACAGTTATCGTTAATATCATTATGACGAAAATTTTTGATCTTTTAATTCTTTCACTCTATTTATGTTAATTAAATTTCTAATTTCTATTATCCGATAGACTTTTGAGCCGTCAGTAATTTATTAATTGTACAGCTTTTATCTTATTCTATAAAAATTTTACTATATATGTCAATTTGCCCTTGGTTTTGAACTCTAATCGTATATATATATCAGTTGGAGCAAAATTTTCGCGGCATTCTTTCCTTTGAAAATATTCCCGCAGAGAAATAATATATTATCCGAAATTTCCTGTCAGGAGAGGCAGAACTTAGTTGGCTACAAACTCTTATTGGTTTTCATTTAAACCGACGGAATGAAAACAATTTATAAACTATGGTATGTAATCCAACGAATGTTTTGTACTCCTCATATTAATTATTTTCCATGTTTTAAGGTTGTTTTTCAAGCTCTAAGCAGTTCCTTAAGAGATTTTATATTTGCCATTGAGCTCCATGTAAAATATTCTTTCAGAATTGTCTACAAGTATTTAATAATAATCTGTATTTAGTTAATAAAACCTCTCCATTTAAGCATCTACAACAAAAAACAAAACAGTTTTTTTGTTTACCATATCTGAGTTTTGTTTCCAGATAATTTGTTTTTTAAAGAGTTATTTAAGTTCCAAGTAGACAGACAAATTAATTCACTAGAAAGTTCAGTAAAAATGAACTTGATCTGATCAAAGATGCCATTTTTAAAACACTTGTTTTCAAAACAAATAAATCAATAAAAAAAAAATGTCCGTTTTCTCAAAAATATATCTTGCTGCCAAATCATCAAAATGTGCTTTACAAAACATCGTCATATACATAATCGATACAGCATTGCTAGAATTGCCTAAGAATAGTTTATGTTTTTGAAAATTAAATATTCTTCAACACTAAAACTAATACATTACTAAAAGCTGTGTGAGAAGTAGATATCGTGTATCGGAATTTCATCTGACAATCAATGAAATTGTTTTATTCAATCGTTTTTAACCAGAAATTAGCAGAATTTTAAAGAATAAAAAAAATCTATATTGTTTGACAGGAAAGTTAAAGTCGTGCAAATTATTGTTCTACTCGAATACCTTCAAAAGAAAGAATACTGCACAATTTTGCTATTCTTAATATAAACAAGGGTTTATTGATTTCTATCTACAATCACTATTATTCTTTCTTTTTATATATAATTAGAAAGCAACTGGTACTGATCATCAATAACAGACCTTTTTTTTTTTTATTTTACCAGAGGCGAAGATATTTATCTGAAGTAATAAAATAACAAAGCTTTCATTCTATAAAACTATTTCTTTCGTCTAGGATCATTCTATGTATTTATGCAATCTATAAGTAAGTAAAAAAAGAAACGAGTTGAAAATCATTTAATTTAAGTGATTATATGTTATTGAAGTAAATATTAATCTAGAAAATTATTCTTGTTAATCATCTCGTCTAGACAAAGACGTTACATAAATTCATTACATAGCTACATTGCGTAATGAAACACTTTCTGTGGTGTTTTTTTTCAGACTAATTAATCGTTCCTTTTCTAGTTTATTAGGTTTCCTATCGTGATACTCACGGAATTAAAAAATGGAACTGATGTCATGATCTTCACAAGTTTTGTCAAAAACATGATAAAAGAAAAGCATATCTAATAATGAACGAACATAAAAATTGATGTAATTTAATTTCATTGATTAAAATAAAAATTTTAATCAAGCAAATGAAATGAAAATGATTTTTTTATCAAAGTCATGTAATTAAATTGATGGAAGTGTTCATTTTAATCAAGAACTTTGAAATACATCAATTTCTTATGTTCGTTTCATCATTTTAATAGAAGATTTCTTTCATTTTTCAAGATCGTGGGTAGAGAAATAGTTCTCTCGTAATATGGTAAAAACTCTTGTTTAGTGAGAGACCGACTTTCCTAGAGGTTTCAATCGGTACATTGTCAACTTGTTTTTTTTATATATCATTCTTTTTCTTCACTTAGACATGTATGCAGTTTATACGAATCAGTTTATAATAATATTTATCTTGAATTAATTGACGATAATTTCAATCAAACAAAAGAAACTTTACAATATTTTATAAGGTATAAAGTTCTCTAATAGTTGGCGTATAATAAATGATTCAAAAGGTTTTCCTCTTAATCATACATTTTCAAATATACTGAAGATTCTGTTTTTGATTCATTTAATAGAGAATGGTTTGCTCTACCAAACCATTCATATATCTTGCATTTTTATATCCTCTATAACTCATTAAAAAATCATCAAAGAAAAAAAAAAGAAAAGTTAAAACTATCAATTGGATAATTTTTCGAAGGCTACAAAGTTGTAGAGTAAACGCTTCTTTCTCTATCCGCATGAAACAAACTTATGTTTGTTGTGTTATTAAATCAAAATGAAGACTCTCTGAAAAACAGGGATGAAAGCAGATCAAATGTCGAATACTCACTGTGTTTTCATCAAGACTTTTTATAAAATCATTGTAGCAACTTGACAATAGATAACATGAAACTTTGTTGTATGTCAAATTCTAGAGAAACACTCAGTCTAAGACTTTGTAATCACCTAAAACTCATCTGATTGATGATTCAAGCTTCATTTGACAATTTGTTTAATATTCGATCAAAATATGCAATACATGAATGATCGCAGAGGACTATTTTTTATGACTTCTTTTTCGATGATTTTTTATGGTTCATAAAAAGTACAACAATAAAAAAAAACTATATGAGTTCGTAAAGTAAAAGATTTTCTTTCAAATGATTCTGCAACAGAATGTTCAGTGTATTATAATGTGCTCTAAAAAGAGAAAAACATCTCGAACCATTTATTATGTACTATCGTTCACTTATCAGTATAGTTTAATAAAAATTTATCGACAACCATGAGACTTGAGTACCTTGTTAGTTATAAAAAAGTCGTTGAAAAAAAAATTCAGTCATCTAAAATAATTCTGTATGAATGAGTTTCATTTGACTGTCAAACATATTTTGACGTATTGACATTAGACCTCCGCATACGATGGGATAGAATACTTTAAAAATCTCATGTACTGTGTTGTCTCATGGGACATCACATTTGTCAAATGATTTTCAAAAAAATGAAATTTATTAATGTACTTATCGGTCTGATTAGTTATACAAAATATAATTCACTGAGAGCAATCCAAAAGTAGTGGAGAAGATACTTTATTGCTATAGAGAAAGCTTGGAAAAATCTTCTCTTCATATGCAGTGTTTAATAAATACAAAGCTCTATTTTTTCGTGACATTTAGTCATACTTCAACTACTAATATTATAATAATCGAATTTCAATAACAGGTGTTTGTTATGATATGTAACGATAAAATTAGATTATACTCTCTTCTCTCATACCGATGCCCCATTTCACAACCATACTTGAATCAAATGGATTAGATTGACATTCAATAATAGATGACAATGAATATTCAAAAGATCTTTTATAAATTATCACTAAAATCTAAATCAGTTCACTGCTTCGAACTATTACAATAGAAAGAATTGCGTCTTTTGTTTATCTATTCATCCATTCAATATTATCCATTTCACCATGATCTATTGACTATGATATAATATAACGATTGGCAGAAGAGAATAAAATTTGATTTTCGTTAAGTTCACTGAAATAGATAGGAATTATGTCTCTACAAAAAAAAAAATAGTTATATTATTCCTTATAAGAAGTATATATAGAAGTGGCTGTTTATTCCATGATTGAATGGATGGGATGACATAGAAATTTTAGGAAATTATTCCATTTCATAGGACATTTATCAAAAGATTTACGTCTCATTTCATGCGAAGTCCTGATTGACGTCATATAGAACATAAATATGACCTTTTTTTCAACTTATTCATCCTTGCCTTTGTGATCAATCGATGCATACTTCCATACTGTTATTTGAGAGGAGAAATAATCATTGTAGAACTTAATGAATTTCGATTAGTTATGATTTTCAACATCAATGAATTGAATACATTTATTTCCATATTAATCATTACTAAATACTTTTTTTATTTTTGCCTTTACTACAACAAAAAACTAATAAAAATCATTTCAATACGGAACTTGGTCTTTATTACCTTGAATAGAACAAAGTTTTTTATATTCATGCAATTTCCTTTTCATGCCTATAGGTGGTATGTATATCTATATATCTATATATATATTTAAATGGAAAATGAGCTTCTTATATGAAGATATATAAAAGTGATGAAAACAAACATAATATAATCTATTCTTTTCTGCTTCAGATTTACTAACTATGCCATCTTCAGCAATATCTTTTCTTATCTTTGCATCTTTGATGATGATATCTTATGGTCGACCACCAAAAAGTCCAGAGCAAATCGTGCCTTTTATTTTTCCATCTGTTAATACGAATGGCAATAGTGTCATAGCTCCATCAAATGGTCAAAATCGATTTATACATGTTATTGAACATATTATCAAGTGAGTTTATTTTGTTTTTTAAATATCAAAAGATTTATTTATATAAAAATTAGATATGTTTCATCAATAAAATCAAGTGAAAGTTTTGTTGAAAATATTCTCAATCGTTACAAAGAACCAGCCGAGAGAATGAAAGTTTTTACATTTCTAAATAAATGTTTTGAACTTACTCGTAATGTTATTCAACGTGAAGTTGATTTTATGTTAGGAATGTCTGAAACACAAAGGAACTCTGCACATTCATCATCCCCATTTACATTAGAAGAATTAAAACAAGTCCAAAGAAAAATTAATGATCTACTAACTAGTATTGAAAAGCAAATGGAGCCATTGAAAACTTGGATACCACCGACAATGCCTTTTCTTGGCTTTTTTTAACAGTTCTTTTCTTTAAATTGATATACTTTTATTTGCCAGCATTTTTAAAACAAAATATTAATAAAATATATCTTAATCAAAAGATTTCATTCAAATTTTCAGTTTTTAAAAGAATTAAAAAATTGATTGATTCTTCATCTAGAATTTTGCGAACAAACAATTTGATAAACACAGCGAAATTGTTGATCTATATTATCAAAGCATTTAATTATCACTCAAGGCACATCATCTCAAAATCGCTGTAGAGCCAGAAATATTCAAATCCTATGACATGTTCAGAATATGTTGAAGTTATTGGGAACAGGGCATGGTCATATTTTTTGCTCAATATCACAATATTTACATGCGATATTCATCACACAAAGGTCAGATGCAGCTATTTGTGACAGTTTCGAATCTTTGTGAGATTTCTTATATATATATATATATTATGTTTCTTCAGCTCGAAAGAGCATCTCAGACTGCAAGTCTGGATAGAGCCATTGGCTTATTAAACCCTTATTTTTTTGCTGAAGAAAAGTATGAGTTTAAAAAGAATGGACACTTTCAGACCTTGCAACCTAACATGCTCGTTTAAATCAAAGAAAAATAAAATATATATAAAATGAAAAGTCACAAAGAAATAGAGACTATCGCAAATTATTTATTTTTGATATTTTTTTGATGAATATCTCTCATGAAAACATCATGATATCAAGCCGAAAATTTTATGCGATTGGAATGTTTTTAGTCCAAAAGCAATTTTGAGGAGAAGGGGGACGGGGAGGTGAAGCTCGAATGAAATAAAAAAAAATATGCCCAACTTGAAATAAATAATCATAAATTTTCAATTAAAGCAGAAATCTACATAATTCAACAGCGTCATACGCAGACAGAATATGTTAGGTTTTAGTGTGCTATTTTCATTTTATTAAAAGAGAATTTTATTATTTCAGGTCTCGAAGCGGCACTAATTTCCTGATTTTTTTTCTGACTTTTTAGAAAAAAGGTCATCATTTTTCTGATTTCTACTGAAAATCTTTATTCTGTGCTGATATTTCGTGATCTGATGCCATAGGACTTTGTCTTAACGATTATGACACGTGCTGCATTATTTGTAATCTATTTTCAATATTTTAATTAAAATAATTGAGGAATCTTTTTTAACAAGAAAGAAAGATATAAAGTTTGTTTTATATGTGTTTTGGCTATTTTTTTTTCTTTTTGTATTGTTTCATAATTGGTTTTAAGTAGCTTTCATCACTTTCAACTTATTGATGTTTCACAGCAGCTAGTTTTATATTGACAATTGTTATTAGTGTCAGATGGGCCATAATGAAAGGCAATTTTTGCTTTTTGTTGATATCTAACGATTTTATCATTCTGAAACAAATCTTTGAAATCGTTGTGAAATTCTTAATAAATTTATCTGTCTTTTCCAATGAATATTGCCTCTGTCACTTTCAATACTTAACATAACTTTAGCAAACTATTGAGTTAAACTTTCAGAGATTAAAAAAAAAGTTTTTTCAATTTTACTTTTATATAATTCGTTAAGTCTTAATGCCTGTCGTGATGTAACTCTTAATTCATGGTTTAAAGTATATTGTCATTAAGTAAGCTGATTGTTACGAGCTAAGCTGTAATTATGACAAACTAGAAAAGATTTTCGCATATGTGATGTTCAAAGAGATATACGCAAGAGAAAAAAAAAACGTGACTTCAGTACTCCGCAGTAAGAGTGAAATATGATGTAATACCAGTGAAGTATCGTACTCCGGACTGCTCAAGTCTCACTTTTCCTCGCTTGGGTATATGACAATCTTGAAAGTTGTACTCAATAGTTTACTAAAACTATCTTTAAGTTTTAGAGATTAAAAAGACAATATTTGACGAGAAATAAAATGTATACAAATGCAGATAGAGTTTTATTTCAAAGAAAAAAGTGAGAAAACAAACGGAAATTTTCGGTCATTATACGACCATTATCAATCAATGGACCTAAGCTTGATGGTACAACCAAGACAACAAGACATAAATTAAACAACAAAAAATATATGTGTAAATGACTCGTCAAACATCAACATGTAACTATATAAACTTTATGTAACATCATAAACCTGAAATTAAACCTATAAATTAATCGTAATTAAAAATAATCTAATCAATAACATTAATGACAATCAATCAAATGTATAATAATAACAAGTCATTTATTTTCAAACCCAATAATGGTCGTATAATGACCGAAAATACCCGTTTGCTTTCTTACTTTTCTCATTGAAATAAAACTCTATCGACACTCATATATATTGTATTTCTTATGAATTAAATCTCAAGATATATTTATCTCTTTCATACAATATTTGTTGAATAATATAGATCAATTTCAACAAAATTTATGGTAATTTTAAAAAATTTGATTCATAGCAATGCAAACTTTGGACGGTGTCGATGAAAAGCAGAAGGTTGAGGATTATGTCTATAGTTAAATTTATTATATTAGCCCTTTGAGTGTAGGATTATTTTTAAATAGTAAAAGTTTTTATAATTTCAAATTAACATTTATTTTGCAAAAGATATCACGAAATACATGATCTTAAATACTTTTAGAGTGCGATAGTCTTTAAAACGATCCATAAGACACCATCCTACATCACATTCAATACATTCATATGAAATATCTCTTCTAGACTTCACTCTCTTCACAGCATTAGCACAAACGTAACCTTTTCTTCTTGGATTTACTTGAATAGCTGCTGATGCTTTGCGCGACAGGAAATGCCGTGTTGTGAGTCGGAGTGGACTTTCATAAGGTGATCGACTTTTGTCCTTTTTGACCTTCTTATGTCAAAAAATGCACTTTGTATGATTTATCAAATACGATCAGCTAATCAGGATCATCACTAGGCATGGATCAGGGCTCCGCGTGGATGGAAAATTTGTCGTCCCATCCCATCTGTCCCATGGGACAAACTTCTTCCACATAAATTCATTTTTTTAAACAACCATACAACGTTTTGATGTAAATATTGTTCTCGTTTACTCTAGCGGAACTGACAAGGGAGAAACACAATTTTTTTGTGGAACTCACGTATGCTTTCGAAAAAATAGCGAGTGTCAAATTAAATCGAAGTTTTTGCGGCTTCCCGCCCACCCCTCCTCCTCTTCGTATTACAGATCTTATCGAAGGGATTAAATAATAGATATATATAATAGACATATTTGCCATTTAGTTTAATGCTTATAATAATACAAAGATAGAATAAGGAAAAAGGATTATGAAAATGAAAAATAAAAAGCGCATAGCAAAAATGAAAAGGAAGAATAAGGCGTTCGTCAGAAAAAGAAAATAGAAAAATTCTTGATTTTGCACTTTCTCTATGTTGCACTAAAGGGTGGTCGAAAACTTTCGACCCCTCTCTGTAAATCAACGATATCTATACAAATACTTATATAGACAATTCATCGAAATATATAGCTTTGTAGAGGAAGATTAGAGCTATCATCTGACAAAAAAGATACTTCCAAATGCATCAACATCATGAGAAGTTATGTTTGCTTTATTGATCATGACTAAACATTGTACACCTTACATTTTTTGCAAAAACAAAATATGCTTGTAAGATCTTAAGCGACATGTTGCTTTCTAGATATTTTTACATGGTTCGATAGAGTTCGACTAGCTCTACGAGAATTTGAATGTTTAAAAAAATTCTGATCTTATTTTCAATATAAAACTTGTAGGAAACCAGAAAGAATAATGAAAATTTCATGTATCAAATATTATAGAGAGTAAGTTGAGCTTTCAATAGCTTGAGCTGTTTGACTGTTCCATCCCTTCATGCGGCTCGGAAGAGTTATTCTCAGCTTCAGTATGTGACACTCCATCTCGAAACATCAATTAGCAGTCGATCAACTAAAGTTGTTCCGAGTTAAGCATACTATCTCATGCAAGATATGTGAGATTTTTATTAGTCTATGTGGTTTCCTCCCAGTTTTATGTTGGAAACAGTATTCAAATTTTTCTTGATATGAATATTTTTGTAGAGCTTGTCAAATTCTATTGAACCACATAAAAATATTCGTTAGAAACATGTAGAAAATAATATTGCGCTCGACTTTAACGGCTCAAACATTAAAGATTGGCTTTATTTTTTCAAAAAATGTAAGATGTAAAATGCTTAGTCATCATGAATAAAATGATCATAACTTTTCATAAGTAAGCCACAATTTGAATCAGTTTTTCAAATGATAGCTCTAATCTCCCTCTACAAAACCATATATTTCGATGAATTGTCTACGTAAGTATTTATATACATATCGTCGATTTACAGAGAGGTGTCGAAACTTTTCGATCACCATTTAGTATAATAAAGCTAAAGAACACATGTAAGTTCTAGACTTTGGCCCCTTGAGGTGTCGCACTGACAAGTTTTTCTACTCTGCAAGTGGCTAAGCAAATTGAGAAGTGTATTAACAGATTGTACTCTTTTTGAAGTATTTAACAAATATGAAAACCCATGGAATGGGATGAGACGCGAAGTTTTAGATAATTATCTCATCTTTTGAAACGAAAAATTTTCTCATACCTGTACCATCCCATGGGTTTTCACACTTGTCAAATACCTCAAAAAAGTACAATTTGTTAAAACACTTATTAGCTTCCTTAACCACTTAAAGAGTAGAAAAAAAATATTTCTTCCTTGTCAGTTCCGCTTAAGTAAACGAGAATAACATCAACATCAAAAAGTTGTGTTGTTGTTTGAAAAATTGACTTTATATAGAAGAAGTTTGTCTCACGGGACGGTTGGGGTGGGATGGGACTGTCACATCGCACGCGAAGCCCTGGTATGGATAATCTTACTGTACAAATATCCTAAACGCACATACTCATGCAATTCATCTCGTTAAAGAATCAACAGATCGTGTTGTTTCAAGTTATTTAGCTCGCACAATACGAGGGTGCGAATTCACGTCGCCTGTACTCAATAGGTTAAATGTTATTTTTGTTGTTAATAAATTTTTAAGAAGTAGTTTGAGTAACTTTTAGAGAAGCATATGTCATGAGTTTATCACTATTCTATCCACTTATATGTAAAATTTGTCTTGTGCAGAAATAATAAAATAAGTTTTCCAATTTCCAGATTTTTCCTACGAAATTTTCCTGATTTCAACACAAAGACCGTTGCAACACTTGTTATTGTAATAGTAAACAAAAAGAGAGAAATATTTCAGCATTATTGTTTAATTTCTATGTATTCTATGTCATGAAAATTAGACAAACGATGGATATTTTACACGAATGATTGAAAAATGTACTATTGATGTGATATTTGAAAAATGATATTCAACATAGAATAAATGGGCAGATTTGAAATGAAATAAATATCGATCATTTAAATTTGAGTAAATAGTTGCATTGTGTAGCATTCAATTATTTTCTCGCCTAATTATACTTTTCTATTATATTAACCATAAACATTGATTATCTTTAACTAATGATAAACTTTTTCATTAACGGATAGTTTAAAATGATATGAACCGAATTGAGATATATTTAAATCAAAAATTAAAAATCTAGTTGTTTATCAGTTAAACTACGTATTCTGTAGTTGAGCAGATCTCCTTCTAACGAGAAAATGTAACGTGCACGCCATTCCATCGGCAATAGATTAAATAACCCTTTCAATAATGATTGAATGTATAGAGAATTAATTATCAAAATAAATTCATATTTTACATGCAACTTGCTCCACGTGATAATTTCCTTTACATCGAACAGTATTCCTAATAATATGATTATACTAGACAAGGAAACGAACACACTAGAAACAAGATTGACTAAGAACAAATGACCAAGGTGAACATGATGTCTTACTATTCAAAACGATAGCTTTCTTCTATTAAACTTAGCATATGTTTTATGCTATCAAAAAATGTTTCCAGGACTTTCAATACATTCAATAAATTCGAAAACAAAATGTTTTCTTACAGTCTCTCAAATGATGATTATTCAATTGCTAAAAATATTTTCTTATCTTTGTAAATATAAATCATTCGAATAATATAATCATTAATTTTATCTGAACACATATTAAATTTGACATACGAAAACATCGGTCATTTATGAACTCGTTCTTAATATAACTGCTTATGACACAAGAAAAAAAGCATGTTTTTGATTACAAAATATCCAATCATTTTTCATATCAGTATTTTCTACAATGACAGGGTTAAAAAGAAATTTCTTACATGATCCATAAATAAATTATTTTAACTTCTCGTATCAGTAGATAAGAAGTTTCAACTGTATGTTTCTGTTATTAAAAGAATACTTCATAATTTTTTCCGATACACAGCATAAGTAAGTTGTCGAACATATACAACTTTTCAATTTGGTCCTTTTATGAAATTTTATTTTTTACTCCTTTTACTTGTTCAAATGAGATTATTTATGTCTTTAGCTCGTTCCTATTCATTGTAGTAAAATTTTCATTCTATTGCGGTACAGCTTACTTGACCGGGAAATGAACCACACAATTTTGAGAAGCTGCTTGCAAATTCATATTTTCCAATCACGAAAATCTACGATTAAACTTTATAAAAAAAATTGTTGTTTCATCTAGAATGACTTTCCTTGACGAAAAATCAAAATATAGAATTCCACCGTTATTCAGTTACTGAGTAACTGGTAAAGTAGCAGCCTGTGGAACGGTAAGTTTCTACTTCTCACCAAAGGCAATTTTGATCAGTTTCAGGCGAATTCCAGTCAATTCCAAGTTTAGAACTGGTATTGGAGTATGCCTATTGGCCACAATATTGACTAGGTTTGTTTCAAATAAAAATATGATTCCAGATTCATGATCAACATCAAAAACTGAGTATAAAATGCTACTTGATTGAATGTACAATTTGTAAAGTTGAAAAACTAAGATTGAGTATGGATAGTCTGAATTCATCTCAGAGTACATATTTTTACTCATCTTGTTCAACCTATCTAGTTTTTATAAGAAGAGATCAGATGAAGTATCTTTTCTCATTTCGAATCACCAGATTCCAAGCTTTAAAAGTAATTTTTTAAATTTTCTTAGATATTGTTTTTATGTTGAGAAAACTGAAGTTTGTTGGAAACCACTGTCAAAGCTATATAAAACTTAAAACTGCACTCGTTATTGGTAATTTTCATTATTATACTTCATTCTTAGAGCAAAACAAACACCATATTCGAAAAAGAATATTATCAGATCAGATCTATATTAACAAAATGCATTTTTTTTATGAATATTCAGCCTTCAGGAATACCACGACCACATTTTTTGTAAAAAAAAAGGTATTGAGAGGAGAACAGGTGAATTTTTCGTAAACATCCATTTTGCCAAAATATATTTGATCCAATGTAGTTTTTTTTTGCGCTAATTTCAAATATGCTATTTATTTTGCTGTATTATTAAACTATGCTGTGAAAAACTGCTAAATACGAACACCATTTAAACAGCATTGTATGGTTTTGCCACTTAGCGTAACAATCGTGGTTCCCACTAAAATATCATGCAGGCCTTCTTGGTACTTTGATTAATATATTAAAAGATGCAAAATTTCCACAGCTTTCAGAAACTAGATTCATTTGTTTTTGGAACTCTATGACTCGATCGAGATAAATGTAAATTACTTGAAAAATGATGATCATCAAGCATAGATGCACTTTCTCTTGTGGAACCACAATCGATCACTAAAACTTATTATAATGACCACTGGTATAGTCCATTTTGTAGAGAATTCTTTTCTGCATCTATTAAGATTCTTCCTCATTCAAAAGACGATCAGAGACAAAAAAATCTCAAAAAAACCATGAGAATGTAAAATAGTTCAAAACATTTTGCAACGAACGGTTTGGATGGTAGTCTGACAGATCTTCTCTTAAAATTCAAATATTTGGTCCTTTTCTAATAAAAAGATAGATATAATAAAAATTGAAACGTCTCTTAAATTTTAAATTTCAATCTTCAGTCATTATGTCGTTGTCTTTCTGATCAAATTGAAATGAAACATAAAATAATGGCAGAAAAAAAAACAAATTTTAAATATATAAATATATATATGCAACAGAAATAAATACACCAATGAAGACAAAAAAAAAACAAAATATCATCCATTGGAATTATAAATTGATGAAGATTTTGATGTTCGACTGATATTTGCTTTATGTTTTAATGTCATAACCACAACAGATATTAAAATAATTATAAAAATAATGAATGCTATGAGAACAGTACTAAAAGCAATTATACAACTTTTTCGTCTTCGATGAAAACGTGTTTGTGATATTGGTTGAATTTTATTGAAATCCTATAGAAAAATTATGACTATTTTATTTCCAAGATAAAAATGATATAACTAACTTGTTGTTTAACAGTTACTTCAAGTTTGTCAGCTCGAGCAAGTAAATTATCAAGTGTAGCATCATTATGAACCATGGTTTCATCGATAGCTTCTATTAAAGTATCTGTTTGAGATGATTCACCGATATTATTTTGTTTATCATGTTGTATATTGTCTGTTAAGAGTTGTTTTGATGCTGCATCATTCTAAATAAATTAAAAATAATGAATTATTTATATGAATAAAGTGGTAGTTATTTACAGAAATGATTGATTGAAATGAATTATTCATTAACTGATCCGATATCGAAGAATTTATAGCTTCATTGGATGTTGATTCACATGATGCTTTAGAAAGAAATAATAAAGGTTTATTTTTAGTACTTTTTCTTTTCCATCGATCCTTAAAAAAAGATAATTGTTTTTTTGTGTCATAATGTATTTAAACATACTGATCCATGTCGATTAGATGCTTTTAAAGATCTTTTTTGATATTTAGTTTTTATATGATTTTCTTTATTAATTATTTGTTCATTTTTTGTGTGTAAATTATCCTCATCATCACTTTCATCTTTGTTTTTTTTTGTTATATGAAATATTCGATAAGAACCATCTTGTCGAATGGATGGTTTTTTTCGTAGAATATTTGCTTTATTCTATAAAAAAATAAGCATATTTTGAACATTTAATTGTATGAAGAATATGCTTACTTCACTATTTGTATCCATTAATGTATTCATTTCATATTATTCATATACGATTCATACAATAACTGTGTTCGAAAGGTTATGTCTAAACAACTTCTGCCAGTGAAGAACGAAAGATTATATTATATGAAAAAAAAAAAAAACTATTTCTTTTTTTCCGCTTTAGATGCTGTCTCAGCTACAACATATTCCTTCTTCTCTCTAATACTCTTACTCACATAGTAATCATCAATGTGCATAAAACGAAAGGAAACGCGAGAACAAGAGACACTCCTATGAAAACGATAATAATGGTTGTTGTTATTCTTTCTGATTGAATATTTTTCGATGATTAATCTTATTTCACACATAGCCCAACAGAAATTGTAACAGTGTTGTCGACAAACATTGTAAAGAAAAAAGAAAATGAAAGTAGAAAGAAAAAGAAAAAGAAAAAGAATAAAAGGACATTGAAAGCAAAATAATAGTTGTTCATGATCGAATGATGAAATAGTAGCGATGAAGTTTCTCTCTGTAATTAGACAATTATAGGTAAGGATTTCAACTACTTGAAGTCAAAGTACCGTACATTTTATCTTTTTTTTAATTACCACATGATAAAAACAAAGACAAAGCCAATGAACGTCACAGATATTTTAATATTAATTTAGAACAAAATATCTCATTAGATTATTTTTTTACATTTTCATACATAAAAGAAAATTTTGATTGACGTTTATATGACAGACAGAAAAAAAATATTACTGTACATTCATCATACGAAAGAATGTCTATACAAAAATAATCTCTGCGGAAAAAATTTGATTGAAGAAGAGACTTTTTCAATTGTACCTAGTTCTAATAGAACTCTATAACAATATAATTTCTATTCTTTTTTTCTAAACTATACATTGTTCTTTTTCCGAAAAGATAAGATTCACTTAACACTTACTATGTTTCAAATGAATGGGGCTTTATTATTAGTATTACAAAAAATTATTCAAAAGTCATGCGTTTGTTGAATAGAGTACTTTTCGAATAAATATCGTATTACATAGACCAAAAAAAGATAATATTTTCGTGTTTTTAATCTTTCTAATAAAAATTTTCTTTCTCATAAAAAGGAGGATTATGGATCATGTAAGAACAACGACAAAAGACTAATGTGTATAATCTATGCAAGCTTCATTCTTCAATAATAAAAAAGATCGGAAATTTATAAGTAACCAATGGATGTCAATCTTCATAGAAATGTATCCGTTTTTATCTTATAATTATTCTTTAATGAGTTAATTTAACTCATTAATCATACAATGAAGCGACAGTAGTTAAATTAATCAATGATAGATACAAAAAATTCTATGAATATATAAAAATAACATACTTACACAGTTTCTACTGCAAACAATTATAAATTCTATCCGTCTTAGGCGATACGGTAGACGTTTAGCCAACTGAGTTATTATCTATAACCAATTATTTGTGCACACTTCACACATCGTTTATATGTACTAAACGTCACGGTATTATTAATCTAAACAAAACAATATCTCATATTTGTTGACTAAATAAATCGAACAACAAGATATATTTTATTTATATTGCATATCAAAATTGTTCTGAGTGAAAACCTGGAACATGCTACTTCTGGTAACAAGAAAAGAGCTAATATATTAAAAACTTAAAAAAATAACTATACATAAGACCACATCAATCACGATTATGAAAATTAAATCAAAGTCAATAAAAAATCGGAATCGATCCAAATCCCTAAAGTATGCGCATATCATTCATTAAACAATCGTATCTGACGATGATTCAATCGCACGTTCGATTCCTGCAGATTTATGCAGTAAATTATTGTATTTTTGTAAAAATTATGTAGAATCTTTTTCTCTTAAGAGATAAACCTATGATGTCAAAATTAGCAGTTCTACAGAATTTCACATAATGAAGGAGTCTAACGCCCACTAGGCGTATTCACAGTACAAGATTCAAGTAAATTTAGCAATTCCACTTCACTATCTTCGAGAAGGATGTCTCCACCGTCAGTACTCGGATTATGTTGGAAATAAATGAATTTGAGCATGTCAAGTAAATCTAACGATCCGATAGTGCGTATTCTTGTTCTTCTTTCGATAGATATGCTTCAATTCCTTCGGTCTATGATGACGCTGATGTTTAGGTTTACTTGAGATTTTATGCAATTTTCTTAATTTTTCAATTCGTGAAAGATGGATATTGTTGAAAGAAAATATGATCAAGAACAACGAAAATAATTGTTTTTTTATTAATAAATTTACATTTTAGTTTTATCTTCTTCTATTAATATTATACGATTGTTTCTTCAATTTATTTATTGTTCATAAAATTAACAGTAGATAGTTGGAGAAAATGTTAAGAATAGACATAAAAAATAGTTGACTTCATATGGTAACTGTTGTATTGCTAGAGACCACATTTATGGTTTTATTTTTAATGCTAATTCAAGTTTAAATGATGATTGTTCAGAACTAATTTATGTAGTAAATTATACCATTTAAAAATACTGCTGTTTATTTTGCTGATAAAAGTTAAAAATATCGTGTAGTGTATATTTCTTATATATGGTTGTTCCGAAACGGTAACGATTGAAGGGACTCAATGGCTTTATTTTTGGTAAGGTCGATTATTTTTGCCAGAGGCAAATCTTAAAAAACGATCTAACCGAAGAACAGTTTTTGAAAAATGTTGGAAAGCAGCAACAACAAAAGACACAAATATTGTTGTTTTTGATTATGCGTGTTTTTTATTTGTGACGGTTTAGAGTGCTTACAAATGTGGTACGATACGAAAAAGGAAAGCAGGAAGAAGAGGAGAACAGAAATCAATAAGAAAGAGAGAAAAACACGATAATATAATATTAATCATACCATCATGAAAATATGATTATAAAGAATAGACAATAGGTCTCCGCTTGGTATAGAACAATGCCATCTCATGGGATGCAACAAATATCCCGCGAAACCCCATGAGACAAAATGTCTTTCACAACAATGTTTTTTTATATTAAGAACAACCAAATCGTTGCGAAATAGATGTCTTTCTTGCCGAAACGTGAACTTGATTATGATAAAATTATGAAATACAAAATGTAATGATGTAAAATTTAGTAGTATTCTTGAAAACAATAGATGTGTTCAGAAATTTGTTTTTTTTTATATTTGACGAGCGTGCAGTTTCATGAGATGGAACGGCAAATTTTTCATCCGATCCCATTCTAAATGGGACGAAATATTTGAGAATAGTTCCATTTCAAATGAGACAGTTTGTGATAGCTCATCCCATGAATGACTTTTTTCGTCCCACAACTTGATAAAACGTGCTGTAGTCTGGAATCTGAAAACTAGTTCTCTGTTCACCGATTTCCATTAAGATGCAGATAGAGATCTTCGTCGAGAGAATCACATCAATTGCTTTTATTCTACGACTTTTCCATATTTCTACATTACACAGACAAAGTTTTAAGGCGCTCGCAAACATTGAAGAATTAATACCTTTAAGATATGTGTTAAAATGTTCCCCATGACGCAAACTATACCAAAAGTCATGAAATGTCATTTTCTTAAATAAACTGACATTTTATCTATTAGATTTTCACAAAATTCACAGTTTCTTAGTCGTTCTTTATCTTTTTCTATTTTATTTACTACTGTTTGTATGTAAAAAGCACTTACATTGGCATCAGTACTGATTTCATTCACTGTTTGTTCAGAGTCTTCCATTAAAGTTCGTGTATCATTTGACAGTGATATCAATGGTATCTGGTTGGTGTTAGTAGTTGATATCGATGGATCAATGGTATTTAGTTGTTGCGTGCTACGATCAGTGTGAAAGTTCATACGTACATGTTCTGCATGAATACAGAATGGTGTTTCAAGTTCATGGTAGAGTAATTAAGGCCTTTTGTGTTTCAAGATTTGAATCTGAAATAATGTCAACTGATGGCATTAATACATTATTTAAAATTTTTGTTATTGTTGAATTAATTGAACATAAACTAACTCGTTATAATTACATATTACTTTAGTTTATGTTGATTTTCTTTTTCGATCTTTACCAGCATCAAGGCGGTTGTGTCAATGAAGACGACGCTGTTGTTTGTTGCTGATCGAGAGTTAGTATGCATGGTCATGTTTTATTATGTATCATTATAATGTTGTTGCTCCTCGGTATAATGGAGGATAATAAATATCATAAGATGAGCCTGAAAGAAATGCTTGATGCTGCTAATAAAAGTGGATGATTCTCCGGTTGATTATACCGTCACTAAGTGCTTGTTTGACTTCATGATTAAGGGTTTGTTGGTGCTTGTATGTAATTGTAGTTGGGATCAAGTGAATGATGATTAAGACGACATTAACCACATACTAGTTTACTCGAATAATTGTTGATGTGATCACGACCTAAGGCTCTAAGATAGATTCAACATCTATGTTCTTTTCGATATAAGTGATGCACATGTATGTTCAACTCGCCAATAATTTGTGCAAAAGGTTAATTTATTTGCAGATAAGCATCTGGTGATCGGATGAAGATGGTTCGCAATACATAATAAACGTATAAAATATATAGAACAAGGTATAACAATAACAATAAACATAAAAGAAGAAATTAAATATTTATTTCCCCAGGTCGAAAAGTACGGGCCGGTTCCGGCCGGAAAACACAGGAAATCGGTCGGAATTCACGGAAAAAACATCCGAAAAATTTCCGGCAGGAATACTGCTTCCATGTTCCGGCTATTTCCCGTGTTTTCCTGCAGGATATGGTGACTTTTCCCGTATTTTCCTGCTGGTTCCTGCAGTATCCGGTGACTGGAACGATCAACCTGGGTCATTTTGTTCAAAATACCCATCAAGTGAAAAAAATGAAATAACCATTCAATTTCTTCTTGTACATTTATTGTTATACTTGGTTTCATATTTATTTTAATAAAAAAATTCTATAATATTTTACAAGTTATATAATAGACATAGTTTTAACGCACCTTCATATTCATT